CCTTGTTTTCCTGTCGACTTTGGATGTCGCATACAGTACCGCGTCGCTGGGCGAGATCTGCAAGCACAGGACTCAGATACTCTTCGCCTACAGTCACTTCCAGAGCCATCACCGGCTCCAAAACCTGCCCCCCAGCCAGCTTCAGAGCCTGAACCAGAAGGACATAAACTCAGATGTGGCATTATTTGAAAGTGATTGTGGGAAAAGACACAGGACAGTGTTTGAGTACCTTGAGCATGCAGCGGGACACGCAGGCTGACACCATGGCTGCAGAAGTGCCTGGCTCCAAACTTACATGCTGGATAACGGTCTTTACTCCCTCTACAGGAAAACCCAGCACAGGACCTGGAAAGGGAGTTGGTTTACCAACAGCATATGGCTGACATAGACACCAGATTTATAGACTGCAATACTGTACCAGGAAGATATAGATGTGATGAATGATTCAGGCATAAAAGCTTTTAAGCATCCATTTCTGTTACCTTGGAGGTATGCGCTCTCAACTCCATTTTCCACAGCTTCTCTGACACCAGCAGAAAGCTGAGTTTTTACTTCCTCCTCAAAAGTCACATCACAGGAAGTGCTAGACTCCATCAGAGCATGGACGGCGAGCTCCACAGTAACAACATGCCTCTTGTCTCCAAGAGTACGATCTAATGTGTCTGAAATTATCATACAAATCATACTGAAATTTACTAATACTTATCTACTCCAAATAAATACTGTATTATTTGATAGTATAAACCATTTTACCATTAAAGTTTGTTCTGTATAGAACTATAGGCATGTTCGTTTCTTAGCATTTCTTCATATTTTAATTTTATATAAAAATAAAAACATTTAAACATCCTACACCTACACTAAATCAGGGCATGTGATTAGTCATATATGTTTCTTTTTCATTTTATTGTTTTATGCCCTTTTTTATTTTTATACCATGGACAAAGTCTATTGTAACTAAAAGTCGCACTGGACCATAAAACAGTAAAGCAGACAAACAAAACAGATGACATTGGGAAATAGTTCTGATGTTTCATCACAAAGTAAGATGATTTTCACATACATATAAAACACGAGGGGAGAGTTTGCACTAGCCTCACCTGTGGCAGCTGCTGATTGGAGGATGGTCTCTCTGTAGGCCACCTGCAAGGGTCCTAGGTGAGTTTCGATATTGAACTCTCTCTTAATACGGTCATGGATGATCTCAATGTGCAGCTCTCCCATGCCACACAGTATTGTCTGTGCATGAATAAGTGAAAAATACATTGTAGAACACACGCACTCCTCTCCTCAACACAAGATTCAAGGGTATCTGATGTCCGCAGCACAAATGGTGCAGGATCAGTTACGTATCACAATGTAATATTTGTGCAAGACATTTTTTCTAAGCACTAAGCTTGTTTGAACAAGTAAATACGTACTTAATATGTAAATATGTACATGCCTATGCAAGCACTAATACACAGAATGCAACATCTAATAGACAAAACACTTTCAAAAATGAAATACTTTGTAAATGACTAATTTACCTGTCCAGAATCAAGGTCTGTTCTGACTTTCAGACTGGGGTCTTCTCTTTGCAGGCAGTTGAGCGCATGCTCCAGATCTGTTTGACAAATCCCACTGAGATTTCAATCCTATTGAAATAGGCTGCAGCCTATTTGGAAAGTGATCTGCTGAAGATCTGTTCACAATGTTCTTACCTGCTTGTTTGGTCACAATGTAATATTTGTGCAAGACATTTTTTCTAAGCACTAAGCTTGTTTGAACAAGTAAATACGTACTTAATATGTAAATATGTACATGCCTATGCAAGCACTAATACACAGAATGCAACATCTAGTAGACAAAACACTTTCAAAAATGAAATACTTTGTAAATGACTAATTTACCTGTCCAGAATCAAGGTCTGTTCTGACTTTCAGACTGGGGTCTTCTCTTTGCAGGCAGTTGAGTGCATCCTCCAGATCTGTTTGACAAATCCCACTGAGATTTCAATCCTACTGAAATAGGCTGCAGCCTATTTGGAAAGTGATCTGCTGAAGATCTGTTCACAATGTTCTTACCTGCTTGTTTGGCCAGAGTAGGAGGTTCAATGGAGCAGAAGAACACAGGCTCAGGGACCTCCACCCCTGCAAGAGCCAGACTGCTGCTCTCCCTTTGTGAGCTACTCTTGCTCTCTGCTTCATTCTGAGCCCGCCGCACCGCAGCTGCAGCAGAGGCTTTGGAGGAGACTATGGTGTCGCCTGTCACAGTCTGATTTGAAACAAACAAAATGATAGAACATATTAATTTCTAAAGATGTGTAATGCATCAGATGAAGACTCCAGACCTATAAGCTGGCAAGAAAATGCATCTTTATGACGGCGCTGATAGCCTCATGGGCATCCCGAGTTTGAAAGCTCACAGACCTTTCTCTATTTCGCCCCCCCTTCTCCGACTGCTTCCTCAGATCTAAACTGTCCTATTGTAATACAGGCAAAAAAATGCCAAAAATATATCTTCTGCCAAAAAAAAAAAAACATCTTCAATCTACATAAGATCACTTCACTCATATTACAAGTCACTTTGAAGGATCCTACATGAGTATTTTCCTCTCAAAGCAGTTCAAACGATCATGTAAGCAACACATAGTTTTCTTTGTCCCATGAAAGTTGAGTTTACCTGTTTGAGTCCAACCGTGAGTGCAATGTTTCCCGCAGATAACGAAGGAATTTCTATGTGCTGATCGGCAAAAGGCAAGAGAAGTCGACTCATTCTTTCCCTGGAGCAACAAAAACACAAAACATTGTTCTATCAATACCGGTATATCGTGACACCCCTACACCATAGTAATAGCCTTTCTTTTTGAGTGTGTGTGTTGTGTTTTCCACAACAAATGAAAGAGCAAAAGTAAAAATCTGCAGAAGTAACAAAAATTCACAAATTTTTTAAGAGGAACAAAGAAAAATCTGGCATTGGACTCATTATAAATGCATACAAGGCTGAAATCAAAAAGAATAAACCTACGTTCCGTTCCTGTTGATGTTATACACTGCTGACTGAGCCTTCATGCTTCCTGAATAGATCCTAACAAACACGAGTGGACCCCTCTGTTTGTCATGGACCACTTTGAATGCCAACGCGCACAGATCATCCTTATACCAGCGTCTGGACAGACAGGAACACACATAAATTAATCATAACATGATTTATTCTCCTTTAGCAAAATGAGTTGATGAGGGGGCTGAGGGATGGTGCACTCACACTAGGTCATGGTTCCTCTCATTGGGGGCAGGAAGGTAAGCAGTAATGGCATCCAGTAGAGGTTGAACCCCTTTATTTTTCAGAGAGCTTCCACACAACACAGGCACCCCCTTACGAGCTAATGTCACTTTTCTCAGTGCCTCCTGCAACTGGATATTTGATTTAAATCCAGTTTATTTAATAGCCAAATGTATCTGAACCAATGGAGAAACAAACATGGAGCACATGTATAGAGAAACTGTCTATTCTTACCTTCCCAGCAGGCACTGCATCAAAGTTTTCACTGTACTCTCCCAGTAGCAGCTCCGCAAAATCATCATCTAGATCTGCTACCTGTCCAGTTCACACACAAAAAAAGAATTCGCCATATCATTCTAAACCTCTTTTTGGTGAACTGTCCCTTTAAGTACCTACTGTAGTCAAGATGTGGCTAATAACAATAAATGTATCAGTATTTATTCTATTGTTTCAATTTTTTTGTTGTTGTTTCACCTGTTCTATCAAAGTGGCCCTGGCCTCACTGACAGCCTGAAGCACATCTGGGTCATCTGAGGGCTGAAGACCGCTGGTCTCAAAAGCAGGACCATCATATGTCAGTGAGCTCCCCTGCCATGTCATTTTCTGCCTAGTGATCAAGTCCACCAATCCGGTGAAGCTCTTCCCTGAGCCAATGGGGATCTGGAAATAATACCAAATATCCAGAAGGAATATTTTCATTGGTAATAGTAGTTGGTTACTATGTTTAAAAAGGTTACCTGAAGGAGAATAGGGTTGGCCTTTAGTTTAGTCTTTATGCTGTCTATAGAGTACCTCAGGCTAGAAGAAATGAGAGGGAACTGCAGTCATTCATTTAGATCAATAAAACATGCAACTTTTCAGACAATGTGTTAATGGATTCTCTGAATTTAAACGTGAGATTCTGAGAAATGGGCAAAAAATGTTATATGTAAAACCTAGCTGCAGGCTTGTCCATCTTGTTTAGGAAACACACACATGGGATTTTATGTTTTTCTGCCTGCCGCCACACAGTCATGGTTTGAGCCTGAAATTCATGTCCAAAAAAAAAAAACCCCACACATAGCTTATGAACAATTACTATACATATAAATATATTATTGAAAGAAAATATTTTGCCATTACAATTGTATTACTAATTCAAATACATTAATAATGAATATACATGAATTTAATTAATTTATATTATGATTTATTATTTTTACTACAAATAACTTCTGCCAAACCTCTACTCCAGCAGAAGCATCAAACACAGCAACTGCTCCATCCAACACTCGTAAAGCTCTCTCAACCTCCAGAGTAAAATCAACATGACCTGAGGAAAGAAAGATAATTCATATTGATTCTATTTAAATATACATATTTATAATATATATTTTTTATATATAAGAAATTAATAGTCTTTACTCTTTTATTTTATTGGTAAGCATTAAAGACTTCTTTACAAAACATTAAAGGGGTCATACTAATATCGTGAAATATTATTGCAATTGAAAATAACGTTTTTCTATCTTAATATATTTTAAAATCTAATTTATTCCTGTGATGCAAAGCTGAATTTTCAGTATCATTACTCCAGTCTTCAGTGTCACACATGATCCTTCAGAAATCATTCTAACATGCTAATTCATAATCAATGATTGAAACAGTTGTGCTGCTTAATATTTTTCTGGAACCTGCAACACTTTTGTCAGGATTTTTTGAAGAATACAAAGTTAAAAGAACAGCATTTATTTAAAATATAAATCTTTTATAACAATATACACTACTGTTCAAAACTTTGGGTTTTTTTTCTTTCTTTTTTTAAAAGAAATTAATACTTTTATTCAGCAAAGATGTGCTAAATTGACACAAAGTGATAGTAAAGACTTCCATTGTTACAAAAGATTTATATTTTAAATAAATGCTGTTCTTTTTTTAACTTTTAATTCATCAAAAAATCTGACAAAAGCATCACAGGTTCCAAAAAAATATTAAGCAGCACAATTATTTCAATCACTGATTATGAATTCAGCTTTTATCACAGGAATAAATTAGATGTTAAAGTACATTCACATAGAAAACAGTTATTTTAAATTGTAAAAATATTTCACAAAATTACAGTTTTTTTCTGTATTTTGTACCAACTCCAAAACTACCAACTTTTGTACTGCGTGTCCCTTGCCCTGCATTGAATACAACACTGTGTGGACACACATGTACCTGGCGTGTCTATGAGGTTAATCCTGTGATCCTTCCAGTCAAAGGTAACAGCAGCTGACTGGATGGTGATTCCTCTCTCCCTCTCCTGAGCCATGTAATCAGTTACAGTGTCACCGTCATCCACATCTAAACAAGACCAATAACAAAGACATTTACATCACATAAAACAAATACACATATTTATTAAAGGACGTGCATTAAACAACTTAAACATGTCATTTTAGGTATTATTTATATACCATGATAGTATTTATTAATATTTTGAATAAGCCTTTTTTAAAATATATTTTCAGCTTTCATTTGAATTCCAATTTTAGTAAATGTGTCATTTTCATTATATTTGTTAAATATTTCCATTTAGCATTACTTTTTATTTCAGATTGAATTATTTTAGTACTTTAAATGTAAGTTTTTCCATTTAATATTTATTTACTATTAGATTAATTCATTTCATAATATTACATTATTAATGAATACTTATATAATTAATGTCATTATACTTATTTCATATTATTCAGCTTTTATTTTCAATGAATGATAATCAGATATTCTTCATCAACTTTCTTTCTAAACGTCACCTCACCTCCGAGAGCCCGTGTGTAGCCAGAGAAGTACAGCATTCTCTCTGTCGTGGTGGTCTTCCCTGCATCTATATGCGCCATGATACCTATGTTACGGATTCTGACCATGAACATGATAGAAACATTTGGTATTAATAGGCCATTATTCTTACACGCTCAAAAGGATATTGTAAAAAAAAATATGCTCACATGGACTGTCATATCTTACTTTGAGATGTCAGGGTTGACCACTGCTCTAAGTGATTTCACCTCATCTGAAGGGGGGGAAAAAGTTATGAACAGTAAGACACTAGTCTAAAATTACAAAATATGCAGAACTCTGTAACTACCCACTATTGTCCTTCACCTCGATAGAAACTGTAATTTCTCCTCCAAGTCACTCTGCCTCTGCACGTCTGTGAGGATCTGGTCATCAGGTGTCTGATGCTCTGAAAGGGAATGAATGATGCCGTTAATGCTGTAAAACACTAATCTAAGTGTATGAGATGTTATTGAAATAGATTCACCATCTTTTTAAAACAGTGGTCGCTTTAAACAAGGATTTACTGTAGTAACCATGGCATTTTGGCGGAAAGTATTGTTAAATTATTATTATTATTATACTATTGGTAAATTACAGTCAATGTCAAATGCCTATAGCTCTGATGCATTAAAGACAGACAACCAAGAGCACACACTTACCCCTCGGAGGATGGGGAACGGTACATTTAAATGCATTTTAAGACGGAATGTTTGATTCAAGGGTTACAGCTTCAGTTGTACAGTATGACACATGACTGCTGTGCTTGCTCAAAGTCACGTTGAGATCAGACGGGACATTACATTCATCTTAACGCTTGCACGGATGGGTCGAATCTCAGTCACGACACGATAAAGCAAAACACATGTAAAAACAAACTCGTATCGTTTCCATTTCCCACTGGCAACATGTTAAACACGGTAAACTGGTCGTTTTCAAAAGCTTTTTAGAATCGTTGCAGTCGGCGACAGTTTGTGAACGCACACGTTTTGGTGCGTCTGTAAATAAGTCCGACAGAAACATGACTGAACGGTAAGGTATTCCGGGGCTAACCCGCCGAATAAGCATTAATTATGAAGTCAAATGTATATACATTTAAAAACTAGTAAGTCCATCATTAAAGTAATTCATATTTTATATACATTTAAAAACTAGTAACTTCATAATTAAGGTTTATTCGGCGGGTTAGCCCCGGAATATTACAGTTCGTTAATGTTTTTGTATATATTATATGTATATTAGTGTGTCTGTGAATATACATATAATTCAAGTTTATCAACATATCGTAATTCTATAAAAGTTTAAGTACGCCAATATCGTTTAGCCTATGTGTATTTACAATCGATAAAACTGATACCGAGGGGTGATTGCTACAGTTAATACAGATATGATCTGGGAAAAGTTTTTTTGTTTGTTTGTTCATTTATTTGGTTAGGGTTCATTTGTCACATGGCATTTGCTTGTGAACGTTTAGAAGTGGCATGCTGTGCTTTACCATTTGACCCCAGTAGGAGGAAACACAGTCCATCACGACGACTCTCGCACAAACCTTTGCAACTGACCAAATAACTTGTTTCTATACTCTTTAAACTGACTAGCTGTGTAAACGGCACGAATACAGTACTAATCATTTCATATAAAATTGCTGGTAATGCGGAAATGTTTGTTATTTTATTGCAAAGGTCAGTGTTACACTGTTTGGTAAATTTCCTTTTTGTGTCAGTACGTGTTGTCCCTCAGGCAGAATGGGGAAGAGATAAAGAGCAGCAGATTGCAATTGACAGAGATAGAGTGACATGTTGACCTGCTGTTTACCTATGTGGAGGAGGAATTGCCATCTAAAATTTTGTATCAAATATACATACAAGCTGTTTGAAGAACTGAGTTGTGGGTGAGAACAAGGCCACTGCTATTGAGATCTGTAATGCAGAAGTCTAATGAGGAAGTGAACCGGACCACTGAGTTTACACCTATGAAAAGATCCTCTTTACTATCATTATTCTGGAAAAGACCCAAAATGACTTTTTTTTTTTTTTTATGTTAACAATAAGTTAAGTGAAGTGGTTTACAAAACCTTACTGTAATTAAAGAGGTTTTCATTCCCATCTTTCAAGCTTACATTGTTTGAAAAATCACCAAACCTACACACACGGCAAAAAACAGGGTGTCACAAACAAAACCCTAGACATAATATCTAATTGTGGCAATTATCATACCCACAAACATATTTTTGAACATGCTAGTTTCACAGGCTACAGATTAAGACCATGCATTATTTATGTGCATATGTGGGTTATCATGGCTTCCATCTCTTCATAAATCTATGTGGTTTCCTTTAGGACTGTTTGAACATTATAGACTACACACACAGTGAGAAAGTACTCAAAAGGCGGCTGAAAGCATATTGTTACAGACTAACGTTTGTGCTGGACTAAATTATTACTGATACGTTTTACATTGGAAATCCAAGTAAACACACATTTACTTAGTTAGCTTAGTTTACTTATCTAAATGGTGAGAAATTACTTGTTTTGTTTACATAAAGGTTTTTAATTATTAATAGACTACACTTCCATTAAAAAGTTAGGGTTAGTGAGATGTTTATTTTTGAATGCATTTGTACAGTAGTATAGTAAAATATTATTACAATTTAAAATGTTTTCTATTTTAATGTATTTTAAAATGTAATTTGTTCATGTGATGCAAAGCTGAATTTTAGCAGCCATTACTCCAGTCTTCAGTGTCACATGATCCTTCAGAAATCATACTAATATGATTTGCTGCTCAAGAAACATTTCTTATCAAAGTTGAAAACAGCTGTGCTGCTTAATATTTTTTGTTGAAACCATGATATATTCTTTTCTTGATTCTGTGATGAATAGAAAGAACAGCATTTATTGAAATAGAATTCATGTGTAGCATCACGTCTTTACCGTCACTTTTGATTAATGTGTCCTTGCTGAATGATTTTCATATATATTTTTAAAAATAAATCTTACTGACCCCACACTTCCTAACACACACTGACTCACATTTTTAGTGATATGAAAGATTGTAAGAAAAAAAAACTACTTTATAATAGTTTTTCACAAATTAGGACATACCTAAATGTCCCCAAACTGAGGTTGTGCCACATTTTGCACAATTCTGGTGGGACAATTATATGTAGTACACACATAGACGTAAATAAAAGAGCTCCACTGATAGTTCAGGTGTGACAGTAGGGTATTTACTTCCTTTGGTGTTAGCCAAAAAAAGAAAAGAAAAAAAAAAAAAGTTTACAATTGCCTCTGCTAATTATTATGCTGACAGAAAACTATCCATAATTCTAATAACTCATTAAAAATGCATTTCTAATAAATAGCAATACAGTGCAGCCTTCAATTCACACGTCACTGATTTTAAAAGGAAAATAAAAGCATGTCAACGAGATAAACTTGAACAGAGGCACAGAAATAAAACCCAGAATACATGACATGTGACAGAAACAAATAAAAGTTGCTTAGTTTGCAGATGAAGTTTGAAATGGAAGTGAAAGCCACACCTGCTACTGCTGAGTGATGCCATTTCATCATCTTAATCTTAAAAAAAAAAAAAAACTTCATCATGAGATATTTTTGTTTTCCATACGTAGCACATCTTATAGAAAGAAAACTTGATGAGGACAGTGTAAAATAAAAAAAAGGACAAAAGCACTACTGGAATATTCGCATCAGAGCTGCACAACATGTAAGTCTGCTTGGGTTAAAACATGACAACATTTCCAAGGACTCCACCACACAACGACATTCTTGGAATGTCTCAGAATATGACTCAACAGAATATAAATTCCAAGCACGCGCGCACGCGCACACACACACACACACACACACACACACACACACACACACATACACAGAATCTGTTTCAAAGATGCTTCACTCAATCATCACTCAAAACCTCTGCTACATCAAACTGAGTGAGGCACTTGGAAAGAGGGGATTCAAGCTAATCGGCTATAGTGACTAAAATCAACCCTGCTGCGGATCTAAAACTCGACGATCAGCGACACATCTTTCCTACAACATCATTTCCAATTCAAGCAGGAAAATTTATAAAAGCATATCCTAAAATTGTGATTCAAAGCATATCTGCACAATACGGGTGTACTTAACAGTTAATTTGCTTATACGGTACAGTAACGTTATAGATTACGGTCATTTGGACGCATACAAACAGGTTAAAAAGAAACAGTCTGAAGACTGTGGAAAGTAAAAAAAGGGACAGAGAGAATGAGCAAAGAAAGTTTGAGGAATGAACGGTCGTCCCTTTTTGCCTTCTCCCTCACTCAAATCCAAGCGTTCTCACTCCCTGCGCCTTCCTGTACAGAAATGTTACAAAGGAAATCCTGCTTTTAGAAGCAGATCAAGCTAAAAGAACCTCACGCACATCTATGATGTCACACTATAGGACTCGGTGTTAAGCATAAGTTAAAAGAACTCTTCAAGCGACTCGAATGGCAAACACGAACGTACTGAAATGAAAAAATAAAATCACACATTATGGGGGAAGACGAAAAATCTTAATTCTCAATCTTAATTCTTAAATTCTGCCTTGCAAGCTAAAATTGTGTCATCCCGTACACCCTATACTTAGTACACTTGCAGTGTTACACACTAAACTTCACTAGTACTTCACCCACAGGATTTGTGCTTGTAAACACGATTCAAAAACACCCTTTTCATATAAATATATACATTTGTTTACTTATAAAAAGTTACTTTGCACTTCGACTTCTTCACAGCAAATATATATAGACATCTTTCACCTTTTTTTTCTTCATTTTCTCTGTCTATGAACTAAGATTTTCCCTGGATCTTGGCAAAAAGCTTCTAGGTAAGGCTATAGAAACCTTGCCCCTAATGTTAAATGGGCGGGATTTGCGAATGCAGGGATGTCAATCAAATCCATCTCCACTGGTCTATGGTAGGCTGGTGATGTCACGCTTGGGAGGGGGTCCACCGGCTTTACAGCTGGCCCCGTTCGCTTTGTCTTCAAACATCATAACCCTGTATAAGAGAAGAGAGAAAATTCATTTCAAGCATCAAATCTAAAATATTCCACAACTGGGGTGGGTTATATGCACACATTTTATAACAAATGTACAAAAGACAATTAACTACTTTTGCCACCTAAAAGTAATTAGAAACGTGATTTAAAGTGGAAAAACAACCGTTATTTAAACCACATTAGCTTTGCAAGTATTTTTATTAACAAGTTTAATCTTCTCACCACTACAAGGGAATTTATTAGAATAAATTGTAATTTAGATATAATATTTATATTAAAGTTATATTATTATGAGAGGTCAAGATTTTATTATGCACATACACATTAGTCCTATGTTTCAAAGGATAAGGCTTCTATGTCCAAATATAGGTGTTTAAGAACATAGAGAGTTAAAAACGTTGTGGTGTCCACTCAGTGTCCAGCACTGGCTATAAGCTATCCCAGCTTCCCACTGAGTAGATTAGTAGAGAGCTAGAGAGTATAAGTGCACTGCAAGAGACAAGTAAAAAAGAGATTGGACCAGCCTGTGAAACCACAAATGCTAGATCAGTCAAAATGCTGGTGTTAAGAGATAAAAATAAAAAAGAGAACAGTGATGGTGCAGAACTGCTGACTGATCTATTCACATGTGACTTTCTGTTTTCAGGTAAACCTTGACAAATCTCTCATAAGCCCTTAACAAGCCCTGAAAAATGGCGGGTTGTGTTTATCGCTTGCACTGAGACTAGGGAGGTGTTTGGTGGTCCCTGTGCCAACTTGGACAGCATCCACACTTGTGTCAATCAGTGTTGGGTGTAATTAGTTACTAAGTAAATGGTGCAGAACTGCTGACTGATCTATTCACATGTGACTTTCTGTTTCAGGTAAACCTTGACAAATCTCTCATAAGCCCTTAACAAGCCCTGACTCACCTAACAGCTAGTCACATCACCCATTCACAATGTGTAGAA